ATAGTAAGACCCCCCCGGAGGTCCAAGTTAATCTTAAATGTTTCCATTTTATGCTTTGTAAGTTTGTTTCGTAACGGAAGAAATTTAAATATATTTATAAAACTGACAAGTCAAATCAAGCAATCTGATTGGTCGATAGCGTTTTTGCGGACCTCTTTGATTACAGATTTGAAAACATCGTTGCTTGCTTTAAAAGTAGCACAATTCATTATGTCGAACCTTGGAGAGTATCTAGATATCCCTGCCCTAATGCCAAAGGAACTGCATTCTGAATATGTTTTGCCGTTTGATGTCTATGTCTGGACCGCTGCGTAAAAAGGAGGGTTTCTGCCCCGTTACTTCTCCGCTGCTTTCTTGTTCCAGTCTGAAAAGCAAACTGCATGCAGTTTGCTTTTCAGCCCAACTGTATACTGTTTGTCTCAGGCGCGGAGGGATACTGACTCGTTGTGAAAAGTAACTTACAATTCTACCCGTGGTATACGCTCAGTATATCACGGCTAAGAACCAATCAGATTGCTTGATTTGACTTGTCCGTTTTATAAATGTATGTATATATGTATGCATATGTACATGTGTAGACATTTGCTATTTCAAACAACCCCTGTGTACTTTTTCGTTTTTCATTTTACTTTGACTAATTTTGTTTGCTATTTCATTTGTCACTTTCGGGTCTCTAAAAATATATGATTTGAAAAACTGTACTTGTACTACTGTATAATGTGACCCCAAATAAATAAAGAATAAAAAAATAATAATACCCTGAAGTCTTCCTACCTGTTCCATCCACTTCGTATTTCTCTATCAGCTTGAGAGCTTCCTCCATGGGCACCTCCTCCCTCTGCTCGGTCAGCAGGAAGTTCAGCAGGTCTTTGCTGCTCATCTGACCCTCGGTTTGAGCGTAATTCCCGTAGATCACGTCGACCTCCTCTCGGTGCGTCAGCAGGTCGTAGAAGTGCTCGATCTCTTCGCCCTCCAAGGAGCCTGAGTTGGACGTGTCGCATTTCTGTAAGACACGATGAGACAATCAATCAACCAGACAATGGATATATGGACAATACATTAATCTGCAGGACGCAATGGCTCACCTTGAAAATCTCCGCAGCGTACGTGTCGTCCACTTCCACGTTGACCTGCCTCAGGAAGTGCTTCAGCTCCTTCAGCGTCATCTTGTTGTCTGCGTTCTTGTCTGCTTTCCGCATGCAGTTGATGATCCAACTGTCATTAAGATGTAAGGATTATACTGGAACTGATTAAAAACAATCAAGAGCTCGACAGATACAAAAAACCTGGAGGAACATGTATGCAAATGTCCCAAAGAAAGACTTAGTGAAGGATACTGCTCACTCTTCTGCTGGCGGCTCAGGTTGCGCATGTTGTGGATGATCTTGTCCAGGCCGCTGACCCACTGCTTCGCCTCCGTCCCATTGGCCGCCATCAGGTCCAGGTTTTTCTTGCTGCCCTTGAAGATGATGGAGAAGCACATTTCCTCCACACCGGGGTCGGTGTGTTTGTTGAGACCTTCAGATTGACGGCCTTTTCGGACTGACTCAATGTCATCGATGGAGACTGGAGAGAGGAAGGCGTTAATGTAGCTTAATGCAAGAAAGAAACATCAACAAAACATGTTTGTGCATCAAGGCATTACGTTGTTTTACTATGGATCACTTAATCCAGTGGTTCCCAACCTGGGGGGCGCCAAAGATCGCAGGGGGGGCGCTAGGCCTCAGATGATTTGAGGCCAAATATCATATTTAGACTTTTTTTTGTTTTTTATTTATTTTTTTTAACATATAATTGTAACGCAATACATGATTGTCACTAAAAGCCTTGTTTCTACAATACAATAAAAAATAATGATTAATTAATTTGAATAACAATTCAAGTTAGTAGCTATTAAAGGCATAAAAAGAAAGAAATGTATAATTCTTTCTTTTAATGAGAAATGTTTCTTCGCCCGTAAAGTGTCCAAACCAGGCTTTTCTAGATAAGCACATTTTTAAAAATTCCCCCCCCCCCCCGCCAATTAGTCATGTCCATGCGCCGGTTTCAGTTGGATTATTTGTCACAGTTGCTCCGATCAGATCGGTTCCTCCATTTTGTAAGATTATTTACAACTTTTGAATCCACATAACTCATCGGCCAAAAATCCGGCCTTATTTGAGCATGTGTTTTAAACGGTTTAACCTTTGTGAATTGTTTCCACTTGCGTCGTCCTTTAATTTCTTCATAACAGCCGGAATCCAAATGAATGAACTCCTGAGTCCCCAATAACCATCAAAGTCACTCCAATAGAAGCTCCTTAGTTACACTTTTCATCCTCTTTAAGCAAATCTTCAACATCATCTAGTTTGTGCATTTTTGAGACTTTGAAACTTTAATTACCGGCTGTTGGCAGCTCCCCCCCTTGTGTGTGTGTGTGTGTGTGGTTGGTGTGTGTGTGTGTGGTTGTGTGAAATGTATAATTCTTTCTTTAATAGAAATGTTTCTTCTGCCCGTAAAGTGTCCAAACCAGGCTTTTCTAGATAAGCACATTTTTAAAACATAGTCATTGTCCATGCCGCCGGTTTCAGTTGGATTATTTGTCCACAGTGCTCCGATCAGATCGGTTCCTCCATTTTGTAAGATTATTTACAACTTTCGAATCCACATAACCATCGGCCAAAATCCGGCCTTACTTTGAGCATGTGTTTTAAACGGTTTAACCTTTGTGAATTGTTTCCACTTGCGTCGTCCTTTAATTTCTTCATACCAAGCCGGAATCCAAATGAATGAATCCTGAGTCCAATAACCATCAAAGTCACTCCAATAGTAGCTCCCTTAGTTACACTTTTCATCCTCCTTTAAGCAAAATCCACTTCAACATCATCTAGGACAGTTTGTGCATTTTTGAGACTTTGAAACTTTAATTACCGCTGTTGGCAGCTCCCCCCCCTTGTGTGTGTGTGTGTGTGGGGGGCAACTTCCAACAGGAGTCATTTGGGGTGGCTCTTGGGAAAAAAGGTTGGGAACCCCTGCCCTAGAGCACCATTGTGTTCTTTCTAACCAAATCTCTCTCAGAGGGGCGTGGGGAGGGGCTCCTTATTTTCATCTAAAGTAACAGACAGAGAATCAGCACTTTTGAAACAGGGCTGAAACAGAGGGGATTATGATGCAATGATCTGTTTGGTGTTTCAGCCAATCAGAGACATGTTCTGTATATATCTGAGACCTATAATATATTGATGAAAAACAGTATAATAGGGGACCTTTAATGCATACAACCTATATGTTTCTAGTTTCATAGAAAGACTGCTGTATTAAAAAATATGTCTCTGCTCTGTTCATTTGATTGTTTTCTGTTTGAGCTGCACAGTGTGTGTCGGGCCACACAAACCACCCACCGTCCGTTCTCAGCCCGACGAGGCCGCAGCTGCCATACCCGGTCAACTCATGAGCCCATAATTGCACTTCACGTGTAGTTTCTCCCTCTGGTATTTTTAGATCAGTGAATGTTCTCGCCATACAGAGAAGTTGGGGGGAAGAAATTAAGAAACTTAATAAGCGAGTAGGGCTAAAACATACATCATTAAATCTGACAAAAAGTCTGTGTTACTCGCTTATTTTGGAGAGCAATCCCCCCGAAACAGAATTCTATTTATTTTGAGGACCAAAACAGAAAACCTACCATTAGTCCGACAAGAAGGGGAGAAAGAAGATGGCAGTGGGCTGAATTGCAGCCAAATTATGCCATTCCGCATACGGGGGTCCAGAAAACACTTGAATGAATACCTCTCTAAAGAACAAATATGCATGAGGTCAGCCCTGCAGCTATTGTCAGACGATACTTTTCAACCAGGCATTTCTCCTTCAGGGGCAAGAGGCTGCCAATCAAGTGTGCATTTTGCTGTGAAAAGGAAACAGAGAAAGGGAGAGTTCCTCCGAGGCATTGTCCACACGGCCGTGGTCGGCTGCTCTTAAGTTGAGCCAATGGCATCTTGCATCCCTAACTAAAAACAAGACTTTTTTTCTTCTTCGGCGGGGCTATAGAAGAAATACAGAAAGAGGAAAGTAGTTCCAATTGAGTAGCAACCAGTGCGTGAACAATTTGGAGAGTTCCAGTTGGAGCATTGGCTGACTGATTAGCCTGTATGACACACAGTGATGGAGGCAGACAGAAAAGCACTTTCAGGGGATTAAACAAGGTTGTGCCCTCCACAGCCTAGCAGACCAAAGGGGCCAAATTAGAAAGGGAATTACTTCATTGCATGTAACTGGTTGGGCCTGGATGAAATGCTAATTGCATTTCAAAAGAGTTCCCAAAACCGAGAGGCAAACCAGAACGGGGCGGCGTTTTCATTGGAGAAGAAGCGGGAATTTACGATTCACTGACCAGAGAATACATTTTAAGTAGCAGGCTTTTGTTCGCTCATGCTCCTTTTTGTGTTTTGTGTGCATGTCTAAAATTGCCACAGTACTCTTTTTCTTTTGTTTCTCCCACGTTTTGGCAAGCTGGCCAACTCCAAACCATCCTTTTCAGAAGCACTCCTTTTCTCACCGCTCTTGTCTATCACTCCTGATCAAGGACACGCACAACACACACATTTTCGGTACAGTAGGTGTGGGAGACCCGCTTTCAGGCATTCAACAACTAAAGTGGCAGATGGCAGGACTGAGGAGGAAGCAAATCACTGAACAAGTGCGGTCAACACACCCTGATGGTCATACAGAAAATAGTACGGAAAACTGTTGTGCTGCATATTGGTTTGATTGAGCTGGTCAATAAGATGGTGGTACTTACACAAACTAGACATGCATGTTTGCTGTCATACACTTACACAGATATTCATATCTTATCTTGCATTGAATGACATTTATATCTAATCTAAAATAAATCCCTTTCTACTGCGTCAAATAATAAAGACTTCAGAATGCCTTTTCTATGTGTCATCGAGTTATCCTGATCTTGTGAGACTCACAAAGCTATAATCTATAATGAAAGGCATCCAGAGAAAGTGGATAAATACATATTTTACAACAATAAACACACCCCACCACCTCTCCGACATGCTCTGATCTACCACCCCCACCTACTCGAGGAATTCCTTTGCCATGACCAACTACAGTACAATGAGGGGAGTGAGAGATAAACAGAGAAAGACAAGGAAAGAAAGGAAGGAAAGAAAGAGGGGCTGGTGTAAGGCGGACCGGGCAGATAAGGGGGGGTGGGGGCGCAGAGGAGTGTGTGTGTCTGGATGGAATAATAAGCTAGGCTAAATAAGGTTGAAGGGTAATGGAGAGAACTAAGGCAAGATTGATCTAAGAGTCAGTGACCTCCATCAACAGGTTTTTACACAGGCTGACAACTCTCTCTGAAACACACACACACACACACACACACACACACACACACACACACACACACCAGCGAGAGGCAATGGTGGTATTTACAAAAAAGGAGGGGTTTCAGGATGGATAGCCATGATTTCCTTCTAGCCGAACACAAAGTGTGACCCACTCAACCTGACCTGTCTAAAAGGACAGGAAGCAGGGGCCACCATGGGATGTGTTCCACGTGTCGTCCACCCAAAACATATTGGTTAGGTGTAGAACCCATGGGGATTAATGTCCGAGAAGAGGGACTCATGTGGGGGTCTGTATGTTTAAATAATGGGATCAGTGGAGAGAAACCAAAGAGTGTTTTCATTCATCAAATAAGGCTGCGGGGCAGGTTTATTGCTTCGGGATGATAAGTCATTCAATGATCAAAAACAAAAGAAAAATAATTCCTGCTTTCAACCGACCTTGGGACTTAATTTAATTTGTACAGAGTCTAGCCAAGCTAATGTGAGCCAGAGGAAACAGACTTGTTCTCTTCTATGTTTTGACACTTGATGAAAGGACGTTGCTCGGTGTGGTTCCTGATTTTCCATCCAGTTTGCAAGTTGACATAAAACATAGCAGCTTTAGTTTAACTGGATTTAAATGCAATTACAATGTAATGTAGTGCACATTAAATCAAATGGATGTTTTGACTGTTATAGATGAATTAAAATATCTCTGCTGTTCCTTTCAGTGATCATTGTTCAACATAATGGAGGAACTGCTCATGCATTATACTGCGCGCAGCGGGGAGAGTCCGGCAGAATATGAGGCCACCGGCTTCTCTAACATCACAAGAGGTCAGAGTGCGACTTAAATACTCGAGTGGAGATGCTGGGCAGCTGTGGGAGGGCATCTCATCGCCTCAACAAGATATAACAATAAGTGTGTGTGTGTGCATGTATACATGTGTGTGTACAATCATGAGAGTTGACAGCGGGGTCATGGCCGAGGGATTGCTGCGGGGGCCGAACTCTCACACTCTCGTCGGGGACAATGTGCGGGGAATCAGAGCCGCTGAGGGAGACCGCAGGATTGTTGGACATCGCTGACGGCACACCCCTCTCCTGTCTCTCCAATCCAAGGACAACAGCTACTAAAATATAATACTGTCTCCTGTGCGTCGATTGATTTCTGAAAACAAAGGTTTGAAATCGCAAAGAACATTATAAAAGACGTATTTATAGCTTGGATTTGTTCCAGGCACTAAATCTACTGTATCAAGGATTTTAGATATTATGGCAGATACACAACAGGAGGATGTGTTTTATATGTCTTTGGGGAGCAACCTGGATGTGCATTAGAAATTAGCTGATGCAACAGGAGCTTCGATTAGAGTCAGAGCACTTAAATGAATTATTTAATTATATGAGAGTGCCATCATCGTTAAATCTGAGAAAATGATTCCTTACCTGCTTATAACTTCAAAACTGTTGTGCAATACCAATGCTGCTCATGTGCAATTGTGTAGAGTTTAGTATCTGAATTGGACTTTATTCCTCATGCTGCAACCAACATATCTCTGAATATATATTTTTTAGCAATACTTATTCTATTTGCCTTTTTATCTGCACAGTCCCCTTTGCAGTCACACTGTTTTACTATTTTCATGTAGTGGGACAAATTAAAGATCTGATTTCTACCGAAAAACGTAATCAACAGCTTAGAAAAACGTTGAATAAAAATAAAAATAAAAAGGCTATATGTGCTAGTGCAAACATGTATTGTGTCCCAGCTTACATAATGCTCCTTTATGGGCTCTTTCTTTCTGTTCTAAACATATTGGGTATGATGTCTCTCTAGGTATAGAGAGTTTATAGTAACTGGATTGTTTTTTCTATATAATATTTAATGTAAAGATTTGTACATATGTTCAATTTTGTGTAGCATCTTGGAGCTAAAACTTAGTGGTTGCAAAATGGCATGCATAAATGTACGCCTAGGGATCTATTACTCAAAATGTTTTTTAGTAATAGGTGTTCCAAATCCTATGCAGGGTGCAAAGTATTTGTTGAAGTGGCCAAATGGCTTATAAATATTCAAATTGTACCACCCTCTCCAAAGATTCCCATTGTGTTTGCAGATGGTGAGGGGTGCAAATCTCCCATCCACTGGCACACTTCACCAACATTCGGCTGGTGAACGGCGCTAATGTTGTACCCTGGCTGAGGTTCATAAACCCAAATGAGCATGGAGTGAGCGCAGTCAGCTCCCAGCACAGAGTGAGGCAGCTTTAGAGGATACATCTGTTTTGCACCAAAGGATTTGTTCTACTGCATGGTACATCTAAGGGGAAATGGTCATTTGAGGGAGTAGTGGGAACGTAGGTGCAACATTGTATCCTCTCAAGGTGTGGAAATGAAAACCAGATCATAACTAATAAGAGGTGTATAGTGTGTAGGTCTATTGGTTTTCTCATCTCACATAATACAAAATGTAAACGCAGAACACTCACTGAGGGATACACAAGAAAAACCTTTTTACATTGTGTTTACCTCTAATCAAATGTTTCTCCACAGTTATTTATGTTATTTTTAAGAGGATATGGTAAGCAACAGAAAACATGTAAGAAAGCAACCAAAGAAGTTATGTTCCAACAGCGCAGATATGTCTGATGAATATCCAGTGAGTATCTACAAGGCCATTCAATTTAAGTATATAAATGTCCTTCATTCAACAGATAAAGACATTCTTAACAGCTATTGCCCCTAACAGTGATCCATGGTGCACAGATGAGCGTTGGCGGGCACAGCCTGTTGCCGGGCGGTTTAATGTATGTAGAGTTGTGCCTTCATCTTCTATTCCCCTCTATCCCCACACACTGGGAACGCGAGCCCTTCTCTTCCCCAGCTAACATCAATCTCAGCACATCAGCCATGTGCAACACTTCAGCACCTTTCATCAATGAACAGGCTCTGTTTATGGCACTGTCCCCCTTTTGTGCCGTGCAACCATTAGGGGGGTGAGACAGAAGGAGAGAGAGGCAGGCAGTAAAACAGTTTCCGCCCAGTGAATCACATTCAGACCCTCACACAGGCGACTGGGGGCTGACCCCTGCCAGGCGATGACATAAACACTGACAAACAAAGGACCTGAGCTCCGAGTGTGGATCTTATAGAACCTACATCTACAAGAACGCACCAACAGAGGGTGACCCGTGGGTTTGGCATGATGGAAATAGACATTGTAGGTGGGAGAAAACTGAAAATGTGAAAATGTAAGGCAGATTTAGCTGTTTCTATCCAAACAAAAGGGGCACGACTGTCCAACAGATTGAACAATGTCACCCTTCCATACAAAGATACATGCAAGAAACAGTGTGGAGTGAGGGCTGGCACTGAGGAAGAGCAGGTGTAAGTGCTGAATGGATACAGAAGCAGCTCCCTCCCTTCCTCCCCAGTGAGAAAAAAGGATTTAACTCTGCTGGGGCTCCACAGAGGAGGCAACAAAAGAGATTTGCAAGAGACGCACCAAGATGACATCATGTCAAATCAATTAAGATATAAGGTGGACATATTTAATTATTCAAGGACTGACAAATTGTGTAAAATATGAAGCTTGCACATCTTTACGCAAAGACGCAGCAGCACATTGAGGCTCAACTCGTTGGTTTAACAGAAACAGCACATGTGCGCAACTTTATATGTGCCAAGATTACTTGTGGCCAGAGTAAGCCTATAGATTAGCCATCGGGGCCAATATGAGAGGGTCTCCAGCTCACCATGTGTGGCAGTTGTTGTTTTATTTCCGAGGGAGAGAGAAACCCCACACAAAGCGCAGTAATCACACTGGAGATCCTGGAAGTAACCATGGAAGCATTTGTCTTCTCCTCAATGGGCTGCCCGGCCATTCATTTACTGATCGCGCTGAATCAATATTTAGGCTTTTCAATTTTATTAGCTGCTCCGAGGGGGATTCCTGGCACGATGCGAAAAGAAATTAGCAGTGGCCAAATACTTTTAATCGTTTTCTTATAGTGTTATACAATATGTCTGCTTGAGCTGTCTGGCATAATTGATGAGGAGTATCGCTACTCATGTGTTTGCTTTATTCTCAAAGCTATTAATCTAACGCCTGGAGACACCAATCATTACTGACTAAATAAATCTGTTTTGTCTCATAACCATGTGTCACAAAGCATGCTCATCTAGCTTGCAAGTGTTTCTGTGAAATTACCCAGCAAAGTTTTACTCATCGCCACATTTGTATTATTAACCGGCACTCACAATGACAAAGAGAAGCATTTCAAAAAAGCAAAATAAGATGAATAATTCCCACTTACCTGACACCTTGCTTGGACTCCTAGTCCAAAATTAAACACTATAATGTTATTGTTGAGGGTAACATCGATGAGTCCTCTTCTTCTCAAACAGCAGCCAATAACAATCTCATGTTGTAGTGTTTCCTAAAAAAACTACTGATCTCGGTGTTTCACTTCAGCAGCTCTAAAGCGTGTGTATGTCATCTAACGGGACCGGGAGAAATAACGGAGACGGAGCGGTTCCCCGGTGCGTTCAGGACCTTTTCCTCTCTCTACACACACATCACGGTCCTACTGCAGCCATGTGAGAGCTACTGCTACTGTACACACACAGAGACACACACACACACATACACACAGTTCCAACACAAAGATTAGTTTGCAGCTTCTCAGTGACTCGTCTCCCAGTCCCTGCGTAATGAGACAAGATGTATTAATCCCATTTGTCTCTGTGGGGCTCAGTGAGGTGGAGGACAGCGCCACCCTGTGTCCAGGACAGCCGTCTGCTCTCTTTTGTTGTCACTTCCCTTTGGAAAATGGCCTACTTCTGTATAAGTAACTTAAAATCGATCAAAGTTAGATAGCCCAAACACAAGTAGTTTTACGCGAAATGGCTCCTGCATCTTTGCCCGATAAGGTTGTAACATTGTTGATTTATAATAAGTAATATTATACTGTAATATTACATACTTTGTTTTAGCATATTGTTGTGTTGTTTGTTTATTATATTATAACTTAGTACTTTTTTTTAACGCATTTAAGATATGCAACACTAAGCTGTCTGTGGCTCTTTCCTGCTGTAACGCTGCAAATTTCCCCTCTGTGGTACTAATAAAGGTATTCTGATTCTGATTCTGATATTGTTGTTCGATTGATCATATAACCTACTGTTAGCGTTTTTTATTTTGTATTCTTATTTGTGCTTGTGTGAACTCTTTCACGTTGGTCTTGCAACACAATCTTGTAACATTTTATTTATACTCTCTTTCTTCTTGCTTTTTTTAAATTATTGCTTTATGAC